TCCAATAAAGGGCACTCTTTTTGCAATAATTGAGACCAGTACACTCTGTCTGGCAGTTTAGAAACTGAATTTACTTTCAGGTGTTTATCCGAATCACAGGGCAATAAAATCAATTGGGCAAATGCATCCTTTGGAGTAAGCCTTAGGGCATAATTGGATCTTACAGTAACATTTATTTGTCCTTTAAAATTTGAATCTATCACTCCAGTTATTACCTCAGTGGCTCCTTTTAAATTATTATGTCCCCAAATTAAACCTATAGTATTATCAGGAAGCGGTCCAAAAATCCCACTAGGGATTTGTTTTGGCCCTGATTCAGGATTCAATTCAATTGTGGTTGAGGATCCTAAGGAAACTGTCTGTGATTTATGTTCAGATAAAAATAGAGGGCTGTCCTGGTGGGTGCCAGTGACGTCACACTGTGCGACCATCATCTACTTCCTCATTCTCAGCCCAGGGGAGGGCCTACTGGAAGTCTGTATTCTGCCAAGGTGGAAATAATGACAAGAAGGCGGGCTGATCCGCGCCATCTTGGGGTTGAGTCCTGCAATATTTATTATCAACAGTAGATGGAGCACTGAACTTAAAATTACATGTATTTCTCCCACAGAGATAGCATCTTCCATGGAGTTTCTGTACTAATTTCTGCGGTTTTAGGGTATCTTTCAGTGCTGCGGCTAGCGTTACTGTCTGCAAATGTGTGGAATCTATCTCAGAACACAAGCAGATAAACTCAGAAACTGTTCCCTTATTACGGTGGGGTCTAAGAACATCCTGACAATATTTATTCGCATTTTCAAATGCCAATTGCTTAACAGTAAACTCGCATGCCCCTGGGTCTCTGATAGACCTATTTGCTGTCTGATACAAAATCCGAATATGGTTCACTGGCACCCTGCTTGACTCTGGTAAGAACTAAATTGGACTGGTCCTTGGAGACTATTTGTTTCCAGGCACATTTAGCACAGTCACTTATCTGATCATACACTACAAATTCATAATTTAACTGTCTTTCCAAATCAGCAAATTCACCCGTTCCTAAAAACATTTCTACTGGGGTCTGTAAATTTTGTTTTCTATTTTTTTCTGCTTGTTCAGTACAAAAATCCGCCCAATAAGAATTCCAAAGTAAGAAATCCCCTCCATTCAAATAAGATCTGGCTAACAAAATCCAATCACTTGGTGGAAGTGGTTGTGAGAATATAGTATCAATTAAGTTTTGTACAAAAGGTGTATTCAGACCATATGTGTCACAAATACTTTTCAATTCCTTAGTAGTCTTAAATGGAACTATGGCACGAACTCGAACTCTCTGGTGCTGTTCATTAACTTGTTCAGAAACTGGGAAAAGTTGAAAACTGCTAATATCTTCCCCTGCTTCCTGTGCCTTCTTAATACCTCACTGGAACTGGGTAAGAAAAGTCATTGCTTTTTTTGTTTGTTTGTTTGTTTGTTTTATTGGTTATTCAAAACATTACAAAGAAAAGTCATTGTTAATTCAGAGTACCTGTTAAATTTTGTCCTTTTAGGAGATAATGGCTGAATTATAATAGCCTGGGCAGGCGGTGTTAAACGTAGCCTGTCAAAATTTCTCTGTAAGTCCTGAATTTCAATCTCTGATTCCTCTCCCTCAGACTGTGACTCCTGGGTAAAATCTTCACTGTTGCCATTTTGAAATTGGGCTTCTAAGCCAAGTGGTGGAGAAATACTCTGTGCCTCTCTAAGAATTTCTTCTGGATTTTCCTCTCCGGGAGGCTCCTCTATCTCTTCCAGAGGACTTTCTATGACTATGGAGGTTTCCTCTCTATGACCTTCCTGCAGACTACCTTGATCTTATTCTTGCAAGTTTAAAGTCACATTCCTACCTTTCGGTTTAGCCCCTAGAACCTTTGTTTTTAAATGGCTCAAGGGAAAATAAATTAACTTAGCCTCTGGCAGATTTTCCATTTGAATAGACCCAATAGCTCTCTGAATGCCTTACAATAGATCTTCAGGGGGCCAAGAACTCTGGCCTATATATTCAAAAAGACAAATTTCCAGAGCCATCCACGGTTTTTTAATATTTTCTATGCCTCCAGGTAATTCATTAGAAAGGCAAACTTTTTATAAATTCCTCCCTAGTTTCTCCCAAGTAAGTAAACTTTGGGATTCTTGTTCACAAAACCAAGGGCAATATTCACCTACAACCGTTAAGAATTATAATAACTGATTTTTCTTTATCTGTTTTTCTTTCTGATTAACTATGGTGTGTAGAATAGTCAGATACATCTCCTTATCAGTAGAAGTTGAATTTCCCATTTTAATTAATTTAAAGTCTCATTCCTTCAGTACCTCCAGGTACTTTTGTGACCCAAAATTGTCACCAATTCCTTTATCTTTATAGCGTGCTCCCACTCAATCTACTTAAGTTGGAATGCCTCCTCATTAGGTGCCAATTCCCACACTGGAGAGGTTTGGTTGAGGTGCTGGTTTGAGATGATGGAAACCCATAAAATCTCATGTCACTGGACTGGACTGTTACACTGGAGAAGAGGAGAATGTTCTCACTCCAGTCTCAATGCTGGGGAACACCAGGGTCCTGGCTAGTCAAAAGGTGGTGTTCCTGGGCAGGGTATCTATCTGCTGGGGACCGGACAGGGCCTTACCTCTCTGTAGAATATGAAAGCCAGTGTTGGCTCTGGGAACAAAATGGCAAAGATGTCTCTGAGCCAGATGGTTGTCCATCCATTCTAAGGACTACACAGTTACCCTGTATCAGTTGGACTTGTTTCAGTTTTCTTGATAGTTCTTACCTCTCTCTGATATGGTTTGGTTGGTGTATTGTCTTTCTTTGCCCACTAGAATATGATGTCCAGAAAGACAGGAGATTTTCTGACTTGCTTATAGCTCCCTTCTCAGTGCTGACATTGTTTTGGGAGCCCAGTAATGTTCAACACATATTCCCGGTTATTCACATATTACTGAGGTCAATGTTGTCTCATTGTGCCCAAAATCAATTCCATGGATGGTCTAGCCAATTATAGTGATAACCAGGATATACAAAGACAAACCAACCATTATTTTTCTGGGAGCAAGTCTTCTTCACAAGGCAGTCATAGGTAGAAGCATAAATCCTCAAGGTTAGATGCCTTCAATAGCTATCATGGTCATGAATCTATGCTATCAATGGATGTATAATGAAAAAGAACAGATCCTGTTTTTGATGGATTTCATGGATGAGGGCTGAGAGCCATGAGAAAGACAAATACCTTTAAAAGATGAGCAAGCGGGCTGGGGTTGTGGCTCAGTGGTAGAGTGCTCGCCTAGCATGCATGAGACACTGGGTTCATTTCTCAGAATCACCTAAAGCTAAAATATATATATTTTTAAATTGATCAAGGTCCTCAAGGGATGCTAGGTGGGTTGCATGCATTGAAACACTACAGCGGCCTATGTGTAACATTGCTAGGGAATGGTGGTGCTCTGAAAGCAGAAATGGAATGTGTACCAAAGACAAATTGTTCACACTGGTAAAATGTTTGCTGTGAACCCATTGGGAATATAAAAAGATAGAATTTGAAAAGGAAATACTTATTAAATACTTGAGAAGACAAAGATGAGATGAACTGGATCAAATGTAGGGAAATACACAAATACATTGCAATTTTTAAAATTGTACATTATTATTGTATGGAAATTATCTTCTTTTTCACATGGAACTGGGATTACCTGATGAAGTTGTCCCTTAAGAAGGGAGGTGATTTAGCCCTTTAAGAGATGGGCATTAAGCCCACAAAGTATGGGCATTCGAGAAAAAGTTAGCTGTAAACCATATATGTAAAACCATAACGTGAAGAGTAATCTGTGGTTTGGAGTGCCACGTATAATTTCTTTAAAGACTAGTATCTCATGTCTGCAAAACAATGACAGGTTTGGAAAACATGTTTTTCCTCATGCTTGGAAAGATTTTTAATATGTGTGTCTGTTAAAATTAATGATTAAATGTGTTCATGACAGATCGGTTGTATTTTAGAAATACTCTGTTCCTTTTTTCTGACTAGGTAGCTCTGAGCTATATAATTTGTATTAAGTAATTCAAAATCTTTGTTTCTGTTAAAAGTTCCATCTCAAGGTTGAGATTTCTAAAAGAGTTTACTGCCATAGGAAACTTTAAGGTTCTTTGGTGCAGTTTAAGTCAGGGATTTTATCATTTTCCATTTGGTTTACACATTTACTTTATAAAGTTGCTAATAAGCAGACACTGTAACTTCTTTGTATTCCTAATTTTTAAAAGTTTTTTTTAAAAACGTATTTGTTCTTTTTGTTTATACATGATAGTAGAGTGTATTTTAACATATTAGGCTTACATGGAGTATGACTTTCCATTGTTTTGTGTTTGTTTGGTTTTGGGGGAGGAGTTTAGAGAAACATCATTTAATGGTATACAGATCAGCATACCCCCACACTAGAAATGGAATGGAGTTGAAGAAGCAGGGATGAGTTGGTGACCCCACAGAGTCACACATGGCAAAGAGGAAGAGGAAGGTGACCATCAAACAGAAGAGCCAATGGCCTTAAAAGGCATAGGAGAAGAGCTGTTGCTTGAGAGAGGGTTCCTACCAGGGGCACGGATCAATGCCAACCCAAGGAGAAGAGAAAATGAGAGTAGGGGAGGGTGGAGGGCACAGGAAGGTGAGGGGAAGGTGACTGTGAGGGTCTAACCTGCACATACCCTGAGGATCTGATAGATAACAATTTGGCAAGTCCAAGTGAACCTGGCTGGACACACATTTAGATTCTGGTTTAGATATAACTGGCATAGCCAGTGGTCAAGCTGGCTTTATTAAATGGCTAATAAGCAACCACTGTAACATATTTGTATTTCTAATTTTTAAGTGTTTTAAAAATTATTTTTCTTGTTTATACATGATAGTAGAGTGTATTTTGACATTTTAGGCATACATGGAGTATAACTTTCCATTCTTTTGTGTTTGGTTTTTGAGGAGGAGTTAAGAGAAACATCATTTCTCTAAACACAGTTCCACACCAGCCTCTGATCTCATCACACCAACAGTGGCAGACCTGCCACCAATGAACTTGTCTGCTGAGTCGATGTTCCAGGAGACAGTACTGTTCTGGAACTTCTGTCTGGCCATCTGCAGAGGAGCTGGTGTAGGAAGGCTTTTAGGTGAGTCCTGTGGTCTAAAAGGAGGGAGACAGACACAGGCCTGATTAGACCCCTGGTACAACAGCGGGTCAGAGCTGGAGAAATAAGCAGTGCCCTGGTGATCTGCATTTTTTAAGTCTCTCAGCTTTAGCTCTTATTTCCAGTGCTCAGCTGCCCAACCCACGTATCCCTAACTTCCCATTCTTGTGGTTGTTTGTTGGGTGCAGTTACATTGGTCACATATTCACATACGAACATAGAAAACATACGTCCAATTCATTCTACTGCCTTTCCTATTCCCACTTTCTTCTATCCCTTCATTCCTCTTTCTCTAATCCAATGAACTTCTATTCTTCCCTCCCCTATTCCCCAGCATTCTGGGTTAGCATCTGCATATCAGAGAGAACATTCAGCCTTTGGATTTGGGGAGATTGTCTTATTTCTCTTAGCATGACAGTCTTCAGTTCCATCCATCTACTGGCAAATGCCATCATTTCATTCTTCTTTATCACTGAGTAATATTTCATTGTATATAGATACCATATTTTCTTTATCCATTCATCTGTTAAAGGGCTCTAAGGCTGGTTCCATCGCTTAGTTATTGTGAATTGAGCTGCTGTAAACATTAATGTGTCAGCATTAGTATAGTATGCTGATTCTAAGCCCTTTGGGTATATGCCATTCAACAACATGTACTGATCAGCTTTTATTTTTGAGACACTGTTTAAGACATGGGAGACATGTAAGTGAACAACATAGATGAGAAAATTTCGTGCCCTCCAGGATCTTACATTTTAGGAATTGACAGGCAAGGGAGTGATGGATAGTCTAAACCATAAAGATATCAAAGAATTAAATTATGCAGTGTCTTGAAAGGTTCACAACACTACAGGAGAAGTGTTCCCTGGTGAAGGGAATCAGATGGAAGTAAGGGAGAAATCCTGAGAGGAGATTGCAATTTCTAAGAGTGTAGTCAGACAAACCCTGATTGAAAGGTACAATTTAAAAAGAGGCTTGAAGGAATTGAGAGTTTTCCAGGCAGGGAACAACAAGTGGGCTCAGGAGGTCTGGGGTGGAATGATTGAAAGGGAGCATAACAGTGGATCAGGCAGAGCCAGAGTCTGTGAAGCAGTACAGTGCCTCAGGCTGCACGGCTGGGCCGCCTGGGCTCTGCCAAGCTCTCAGGCGCGCCTTAGCTCCGCTCCTCCTGCTGCGCTCACCGTGCACCGCCTGCCGCCTTCCTGCTGGGCGCCTCCCCGCGGTCGCTGTCAGTGCACGCCGGCTTGCAATCTTGCAACCCAGCTGGGCACAAAACACAAGCCAGTCAAACAGAAACAAAGTTTTATTTTGTAAGAGGCCGTGTGCATCCCGCTAGCAAACCGGTCCACACACGTGTGTCTACCGGAGCCAGGGGGCTCCACTTCCCCCAGAACACCCTCCTACCATCCTTCCCCAACCAATGGAAACTCTGGGGAGTCCCATAACTTGAGTTCCCAAATGGGCCTAGGTGAACAGCAGGAGTCCAATTTCCATATGAATGTAATACTTTTGCAGTGGCTCCTAGCAGTACAGCCTGTTGTGAATAAAGTTTTATTAAAACAGAGCTAGTGTCCAGTGTTCTCCTTTTTTCATGGCCACATTCATGCTACAAGTGCAGAGTGGAGCTGAGGAGACAGAGACAATCTGGCTCACAGATAGTTATGTATTTACCACCTATCTTTCTTTTTATGGAAAATGTGTGTGTCCCCTATCATGGGTAGAGAAAGGCATAAATGGTTAGGGATTCTATGGGAGCAGAGATGGAGGAATGGAGTTAGAAGTGGGTAGGTTCTAGATGTGATGTGAAGACAGGGCAGATGAAATTTACTAAAATTCCGAGTGTGTGATTGGGAGAAGAAAAAGGAGTCAAAGGATGTCAAAGGTTCCTGGCTTGGACAACTGTAAAGATGATGCTAAGGAAGACAAGGTAACTGTGTATTGACCCGACACCCCACCCCACCCACAGGGGAAGGAGAGCAAATAGGAGATTCCTTCTCAAATGTATTCAGAAAGGAGATGCAAAGAAAAGAAAAAGACACATTTGGACTAGAGTCAATGGAGATAGATGAGAGAAAGCCAAACCCTGGAGTAGCATCTACCACAAAAGTAGAGAACACAGTGTTTTCTAGGAACCTCAGAACAAGAGGATAGGGCAAACCACCAGCAGGAGGCACCAGACCTGCCTAGCAGCAGCACTTGCACCAGAGGAAATGGGAGACAGGAGGTTTTGAAAGCTCCAGCAGGCATTCCTGCAAAGCACTGCAGGCTAGCAGGAGAAGAGCAGCTGAAACTGAGAGGGGTTATGGCCAACCCCAAAGTGAGTGCAGTAGGTCTCCTACAATATGTACTATATGATGTATAATCCATATGGTACAACAGCTATTTACATAGCGTTTGCAATGTGTTAGGTATGATAAGTAATTATAGATGATTTAGATAATTTGAACGTGTGCAGTCTTTCTTCAACTCTGCAGAATTTGTTGTCAGTGAGGGGTCCTGGGTGCAATTCTCTGTGGATACTGAGAAGCAGCTGTAAGTAAAAGTATCCCACGTTCAAATCTGAAGGGCTGACACTGTCCAGCCCCTCTACTCTCTTGAAAAATTAACAGCCAATGCTCCTTTTCAGGACATGGCCTCACCCAGAGGATAAATCTCTGGGAGGAACAATAGACACAGAGGATAAACCTCCAGGTGGAAACAGCCAGAAAATTTTAGAAAATAAGCCGATATGTTTTTAATGCTTCAAGAAGGAGGAGGAGGAGGAGAAGGAGAGCAGAGGGAGAATGGGGAGGGACAGAACTGGAAGGGAGAAGAAGAGGTGGAGGAAGGATTGGTGGAAGTTGCCATTCCATCACATAAGAAACTCTATCCTCAACCATGCTTTACAAAGAAAATGTATTTTGCATAAAAATGCATAGCAAGAAAAGAAGGAAACCTAATCCCATATAAAGCTATTCTAAGAAAAAGGAGAGGGCTGGGGATGTGGCTCAAATGGTAACATGCTTGCCTGGCATGTGCGGGGCACTGAGTTCCATCCTCAGCACCACATAAAAATAAAATAAAGATGTTTTGTCCACCGAAAACTAAAAAATATTTTAAAAAATTGAAAGGAGAATAGCATCCTCTCAGACAATGTAAACAAGTCAGAAAAGAACCCACCAAGCTGATCAGATGGTCTCCCACTCTTTCAAACTTAGCTGAAAGACAGTAGGCCAAGCAATGCAAAATAGGACAGAACCTGAGAGGGGAATGGGGAATTATATCATGTATATAGCTTTCTGTTTGGGATGGTGAGAAGTTTTGGATTTGGATAGTGGATAATGCTCGAACAACATCATGCATCTACTTAATGCTATAGAGTTATCCACATAAAAATGGTCTAAATGTTGAGTTTTATGTTTCATAATAAAAAGGAACAACATAAATGGAAATTAGATGAGATGGCAGAACTCAAAAGAAGGCTAAAAGTGAACACAGTGAATAAACATAATAGATAATGTCTAAAAAGAGAAAATAATTTTTTTCAAATATCAAACACATGATAAAAACTATCCCAGAGTCCTGGTAAATAGGAAAAGCAAGAAAGCCAGGCAAATTCTACAAAGAATAATGCAAATACACATAGGAATTTAATATGTCATAAAGGTTACATTTCAAATCTATAGGACAGATAATTTAACAAATTGTGATACATACATTTTGGGTTTAAATAACTCTGGAAGTTTCCAAAAAGTGGGAAAAGGCGATGTCTCCTGTGGGAAGAGTGGTGAAGATGGTGGCTGAAAAATTTGAGGGAATGGGTAGATTTCTTCTGAGTACTTTTTTTGCATCTTTCTGTTCTATTGTGTGTATATATTACTTCCAAATTTTGAATGCCAGAGTTCAAATCCCACATTTCCAGTGAAATGGTAGTTCTTAATCTTGAGCAAATTATTGACATTATGTTTTAAATGTCAAGTGGGAGAGAATAATTTTAATCCCAAAATTCTCAATAATTTGTAAATTACTATTAAAGACAATCAAATGCCCACCAGGGATGTGTGGATAAAAAATGTGGTATATCCATACAATATGATAATAGGCAGTCTTAACTGGGGAGGAAGGACTCACAGTGTACAACATGGATGATCCTTAAAAACAGTCTTCCAAGTGAAAAAAGCCAAATATTAGAGGTCACATATTGTATGATTCATTTTATATGCAATGTCCAGAAAGGGAAAAACCAGAGGGATTAATGGTTGCTGTGGCCAGTGGGTGGTGGGAATGGGGATGACCTCTAACAGGCACAACGTTTTCTTTTTGGGATTATGAAAATGTTATGAATTAGAGAGTGGTGATGGTTACACAAACTTGTGAAAGTACTTAATGCCCCTGAACTGAACATTTTTAATGATGAATTTTATGTGCATTTTATTTTCAGAAATAATTTTAAAATATCAATTACCAATCTTTCTATGGCGATTTTCTGCTGCCTCCATCATCTTCTTGCCCCAATCCATTTCCACCCTTTCCTCCTGCTGGGTCCCTCACTCTTTCTCAGGGCAGCTGTGCCCCAGGACTCTCACCTTGCACAGAGCCTGCACACCACACCCAACTGTTGGGATGCTGGGTCCTGTAGTTGTTGGCAGGCTGCTCCCTGCACATGCGCTCTCTGCTTGCATTGGGTGAAGATAGATGCCAAGTAGTGATTTTTTTTTCTCCTGAGCTTCGATTCATGGCAATAGTCCCTGAAGGAAGAACATTCCAGAATCAATGGAGGAGGACTTGACAGGCCTCTCAGTTCAGTATTTATTCCCCCTTTCAAGTGTGATCTCTCTCCTCTACCCTCTACCCCACCTCTATAGGCGGTGCTCTGAAATCCAGGTTGGCTGCCTGCAGGGCAGGACAGGTTGGCTTACCAACACTGAGGACTCAAGGCCACAGGCCTCAGATTGAGGCTTTGCTTCTCTGCATACAATTTGATCCTAGAGCACTAGATCGTTAGTAAAGTGTCACTGAGTGATACTGACCTTGTGTATGAAGGTTAATTCAAGTAGTGCCTCTCTGCTGCCCTAGTGCATGGGTGTTGAGTCAATGGTGATTTATTCCAGGCCATGTTCTGAGGGGCCTCATGCTGCTGCAGTTCACTTGGCCAAGTCCCAGGTTATCAGCTTTCCTCAGAGTAACTGTGGATCCTTGGGACCCCTCTGGTAGATTCCCTGTGTTTTGTATTCATCTTTCCCAGCTAGGATCTTAAGTGACCCAAGCATGCTGGAGATGTGCCCTGAATCTTAATTTGTAAAATGCCTTCCTTGTAGGTCAAAAACTAGGCCATTCTCCATGAGAGTTTTTTGTTTGATTTTTGCATTTCTTCTGGTCTGCTTGAACCCATCTCCTACCATTTCCAACTTGATTGACATTTTATCATTTTAACCCTAGTTTCAAACATTGTGTCATTTGTCGGCCATTGTGCCAATTCCTGATTCTTCCAGTAAGTCCATACATCTCCCTTCTTTTTGCCTTCCTAGTGATGTATCATATGCCTTCCTCTTTCCTGCATTCCTAGCCTTTACTTCTATTATCTTGGCCAACTTTGAGTTCGTTTCTTCTTATGCAGGCTGTGATCTCCACTGCTACCAAACAAAACCACACTTAACAGCCATTCCAACTCAAAAGTCCTGTTTATTATCTGTTAATCAATTCCATTAAATTTCTTTATTCAATTTTATTAAGTTTTAAAAGTATATTGGAATGAGTGCATATTCATACCTGTATGAGGATAAATGTTTGATAACCAAGTGGTAACACAAGGCCTCTTTATTATCTATTAACCAATTCTATTGAATTTCTTCATACAATTTGACTAAATTTTGAAAATATATTAGAATGAATAAATCTGTACCTACATATCTACATATTTATAAAATTTGTATCTACATATGTGGAAAACTATGTGATGCCCAAGCAGTACCAGAAAGCCTCTTTATTACTTATCTCTCAAACAATCTTATTACATTTCTTTATTCAACTATATTAATTCTTAAAAATATATAAGTGAATATCTTTGTATCTATGTATCTCTCTCTGTATATATATGGAAAACTTTGGTATTCAAATGGCAACATAAAGCCTCTTTATTACTTACCTATTAATCAATACTATAGCATTTCTTTACTAAACTATAATACATTTCCAACTGTGTCTAAATGAATAAATTTTTACCTATCTATGTATGTGTATATGTGCAACATTATTTGGTACCCATGTAGTACCCAAAGGCCTCAGTGGTACAAGAAGACTTCTTTATTATATATTACTGAATAATATTACATTTCTTTATATAATTTTATTAAATGTTGAAAGCATATGAGAATAAATAAATGTGTGTCTCTCAATCTACATGTGGAAAACTATTTGTTTCCTAAGTGGAACCATCTCTCTTTCCCTCTCAAGGAAACCCTGCACTCTCCCCAAAGCAGTGTACTTGGCAGCATTCTCACGCTCTTGTTGAGCCTTCTTCTTCATGGCTTCCTGCTCTGGCCTCTGCTGTTTGGTGATGGGAGTTGATACTACTTGCCCAGGAACATTGGGTTTCCTCCATGGAATTGGTTGTAAGGCAAAGTCTTGGAGTAGAGATTGATTTTGAGGCTTGGGCAGTTGTGACTGGGGCTTGGTCCCAACAGTGGGAATAGGTGGCTGTTGCAGAGAAGTGCAAGATGATCTTTTGTAGGGTGCAGGACCGGAAGCAGCATTCTGAGGGACACTAAGCTGGGTAGAAGCGCTCACACCTGACTGAATGGCATGGGTCAAAACGGGCTGAGCTGGTTTGGCAGGACACATCCAAGATGGGTTGGCAGTAGCTGGTTGGGATGTGTTGACTGCCATGGGTTGAGCTGAGCTAGCGGGACCAGATTCGGCAGGGTAAGCCCCAGTGGGTCAGCGTGAGGCCAGAGACTGTGGCCTCCTATTGATTGCTGGTCGAGGTGGAGGTTTCTCCTGGGTCAGAAAAGGCAAAGGTACCAATTTAACCTTCCCTGGTGGTGGAGGCTCATAAATGGATGGAGCGGGACCCTCTCCTTCAATACTGATATCTGGGTTCTGGGCTTTGACTTCTGATTTCTCACGACCCTTAACTGCCAGCTATGGTTTCATAGCTGGGCATAAACGGGGATCTTGGGTATTGCCTGAGTTTCCTGGGGCCTGGGAAGAAGACAGCCCAGTTGATTTTTTTTTTAATCATTCTTCTTCCCTAGTGTATGGAAAACATGCACCGTCTCTAGCATGTGCATGCCAAGAGAGCTCCGAGGCTTTTTAAAAGTCTCTTGGCAAAGCTCAGGTTGGTTCCTCTTCTGCTTCATCTTGGGCATGTTTGGCTTCTCTTCGGCCTTGACTTTATTGCCTGGCTGCTTCCTCTCCTCGGCTTTCCTGGAGTTGTTTTCTCTGGTCCTCTTGGTCTTTTCCTGCCCATGGCCCTTAGCCTTGCTGTTCCTGCTGGATGCAGATTTCTGTGGTTTGCTGATAGAGTGCTTGGCTGTGTGCACAGGGGCCCTACTACTGTCTGCATCCCTGTGAGCAACTTTTTTTCTAATGTGCACTCTAGTTCCCTTGGCTGCATTTTGGCCTCAGGAGATCCATCAGGACACTCTGAGGCTTTATGTTTATTGTTCCTCACTGGATCACTAGGACCCTTTATGCCACTTGTGATTTCCTGCCCCTGTTTCACCATGATGGCTCTGGTGTCATTGGATTTTGTTATTGTGGGACTTTCAGGTTGGTCAAAGTCTTTCAAGGAACAGAAAAGCTCAGGAAGGTGAAAATCTCCCACTAGTGCAGTGAGGTCTGCAAAACCACTGCTAAATTCAATTTCATTTTCAAGTGTACCTTGGTCCTCAAGACTCAGGGAGTTGTTTCCCGGATGGATATTTTCAGAATGTGGCTCCTCCTCTTGGTCCAGAGGACCAATGGAGGTCATAAGCTGGTGGATAAAGGGAGCAGTGGAGGATTCTGATTCTCCATGGCAATTGGGTAGGCATCCAGTGGCTCTTGAGAGCATGGTGTTAATCTCACACAAGTTCTTTTTTTTTTTTTTGAGAAAAAGAGAGAATTTCTTAATATTTACTTTTTAGTTTCGGCAGACACATCATCTTTGTATGTGGTGTTGAGGATCGAACCCGAGCCGCATGCATGCCAGGTGAGCTCGCCACCACCTGAGCCACATCCCCAGCCCCTCACACAAGTTCTTAATCTCTGTTTGTTCCTGGCTTTGATTTGTAGGCCATGCCAAGAAATCAGTAAAACTCTGGACTAGAGTTTTTATGGAAATGTCCCCAAGTTCAGTTTGTGAGTTTTTCTTAATTGTTTGGCTTTTTCTATTATTGCAGGCATATGGGAATTCTGGAGGTGGTGGCACACAAAATGTCTGACTTGGAAGTTGCAATCCCAAGGAAGCCTCCATCCCTAGAGAAGTTTCCATCCCTGCCAAGGAATCAAGGATGATGGTAAGTAGGATGCTCCCCCTTCCCAGCAAGACACTATTCAGGGAAACCACCAACTGTGGAGAAAGCATTTCTATTAGCTCTTTTTAAGGACCACAGACAGGCATCTGTTAAGAGTTGCATGTTAGTTACAGGTGATCCCTTGAAGTCTTACTTTTGGGCGGGTACAACCCCATGGCAGCATTGGTTTCTGGTACATCATTTTTCTCCTCTGTGGGAAACGCAGAGAATCTGTTTTATAAAGTCTCTCCTGTTCATATAGGGGCCTCTCAATTCTCTCCACTCTCACATGAATTAGGAGAGGGTGGAGTTCTCTCTGAAATCAATGTAAAAGGTCAGGGGTTTTAGATTCCTGCTTTAGACAGCATCTCTACATACAGAGGTTAAATCCTGCAGTCAATTAAGGAACAATTAAACTGTCATACCCTGATATGTTTTGATATATTTTCCTCAGAGACCAAAGTAAAATTAGGGAAATAAATTTGTTGTGTGGTGGTGTCGCTGGACTGAAGTGCAAAAATAGTGAACAGTGGCTTCCTTCAGTGTGATCCTAGAGGTCTCTTAAATGCTTACATGGCCATTATGCTGTCCTGCATGCTTCTCTTACAGAGTCTGAAAATGGGGACTGCTGAACAAGAATAGTGGTTAAAACCTCAGGACTAAAATTCTAGGGATCTGTGGACCCACAGCTGAAAACTGGACCCTCCTTTTGAATGGTAATCTTATTCCTTCACCTTTTTTCTGTTTGTACTCACCTTGAAAATTTTTCCTTCTCTACTTTGAGTGAACACAGAGTAGTAGATCACAGGTGTAGGGACTGATGGTAGGACATTTGTGGGCTGAACTTCCTTCAGCACTGTCACCATTTCTGATTGAGGGGCAGCAGCACTACTTCCTGCATATGGCACCGAGCCATAGGATTGCAGGCAGAGGCCATGTTCTCCAGAGAGCAGACTCCTCAGAGAGTTTAGATCATAGTAGTAGACCTGGATTCCTTCTTGGTGGGGTAGTGAGAGGCAATGTCCTTGATTTGGAATCTGAGAAAGTGTCACCTGGACAAGACTAGCAGCAGATAGTGGTGGATACCCAGGGACCATGACATTGGCTTCAGAAGTTTTGTCATACTGGGATGTCATAGATAGGGAAGATCCTGCTGTGTTCTGTTCAGTGACAGTCAGATTAAAGTCCTTGAGTGAAGATGAGCTCTTTTCAGCACTTCCTGGGATATACCACTTAGAAATACTTGGATAGGAGGCAAGTGCCATGGGAATCTGGTTCTGGCCAGTAACCCCAGACACCATGGCTGTGATAGCATGTTTGGTAAAGGTAGGCACTGCCCATGAGTGGTTGGAAGGAGGTGCCACAGGTTGAGGGCAGTAACCATGCTGAAGTGGCAGCTGGAGCAGAGGCTCTGGAGAAGTTGCACACAATTACCGTCCCGGAAGCTGCATTGGTCGCCACAGGAAGAGAGAGCTACAGAGAATGTGCAGTTCCATGTAAAGAAGAATTTTGGAAATGTTCTGTAGGAAGAAGAGGGTGGTGAAAATATTGATGAGACAGGCAGATTCTTACAATATTTGAGGAACAATATCATCTTAATGTTGTAGTAATCAGGAAGGCCCTCATCCAATAATCATTGAAATACCCCAAATCACTCCATTTAGGATGGCTGCAAGTTCTCTTCTGATTACCTGCCTTTTCTCTCAAATTGGGCACAGAAGTCCCAAGTGGTCTGCTTCGCACATTGTTCCCTAAAAGCATCCTTCTACCTCTCCTACCTTTCCTTTGAGCCTGCACTAATACTGAGTCATGAATTTGCCCTAAAACTGAAGCATTTCGGAACTCAGAGAAAACCCCACATTGCCAATTAGCAAATGAGTACACCAGGGGTCTGAGAAGTGAGATCAACTTGTTCAAAGTCAGCAACAGGTTATGGGAACCTATTTTCTGTCCACACTCTTGTTCCAAAGTCCAGAAGTCTGGAAAAAACAGAAGTTTGTTTTTCCCTGTTCATAGAAAACTGTATTCCTATCACCACTGTGGTCTTCAGTATCTCCTTTTGCTTGTCAGGTCACATGACATTTCCTAGAGTTCAGTTTTCCATCTAAATGATACTTTAAGCGTCATTCTTTACCTTCTGCAAGCCTATCTTCTGATCCTACATGAAAATGACTACCTGAAAGTAAGTTTCTCAAGAAATGCTTCTTGAAAGAAATTGAAACTTTCTGAGCTTCAGGTTACTTATCTTTCGTGTGGTTATAACAATACCAACAGTGATAATTTATCCATGAAGATAAGTGACATATTACATAAGATTCATATGGGGGCTGGAGTTGTGGCTCAGCATTTGAGCACTTGTCTAGCAGGCGAGGCCCTGGATTCAATTCTCAGCACCACATCAAAATAAATGAAATAAAGGTACTGTGTAGAACTACAACTAATAAATAAATGTTACAAAAACTTTCATATTGAGGGAGATACACTATGTTCTGGAAAGATAGAAGCAAAAATAAAAAAACAGCACAGAACTAAAAGGAATGACTAGTTAGTAACGAACTTGTGGATATATAGCAAAAAGGACTACATAGCAAATTTGCTAAGAAATGAAGTTCTGTTATCATGCATACAGTATTATGAAAGTGAATGTTTCTCTTTGATTTTAGTGAATATTGTTAATGAAAGCATAGGTCACAATTGGACGTTATTTTGAATGAATTTTCCACCAGTACATATAGACAGAGAATCTATATCCAAAAACAGTTTATAATAAGCCTCAAAATTAGGTAAAAGTGAACAGATGGGTAGCCACATGGAAAAGCAAAAACTGAAGGAAAAACCCACTATGAATCTGGGCATGGTGTGGTGGGCCTCTGGTCCCAGCACTTGGGAACCTGAGGCAGTGGGATTGCAGGAAACCAGGAATTGAAAGTCACTCTGGGCAATTCAGCAAGATCCTGTCTGAGAAACCAAATAAAATGTCCGGGAGATATAGCTTGTGGTAGTATGCTTGCCTAGCATGCATTAGACCCTGAGTTCAATCCTCAGAACTGGAAAGAAGAGAAGAAAGGAAGAAAGAAGGAGTGAATGAGAGGAAGGAAGGAAGTAACAAGGAGCAAGGCATGGAGGGAAAGAGAGAAATGGAGAGAGTGAGGGAAACAAGAAGGGAAGGAGGACAGAGGAAGGAAGCAAGAAAATTCGTACATACTAGAGGAAAAAAAACAATAAGTGTAAAGTCATTATTGTTCTTGTTTATCTTCCTCTAACGATTACCCACACCAAATAAAAGACATTAATCCCACTAGGTAGATGTTCCAATTAACATAAACACATTTTCTGATAATCCTTTTGGTTATAAAAAAGCAGAAAAAATATTTGAACAAAATCATAGAAGCCTAGTTTATAATCAACTTTAGAGTAAAATCTTGTCCCTATAGTCTGAGGAAACCATTACCACTATAATAAAATAACAATTTTAAAACAATTTTTGTCTTTTATTCTGACATTTTCTTCTCCCTTTATATGAAAACAAAATTAAAACAAAAATGTTTGAGGTACCCTACACCCCAGCCCCAAACAATTATTTGAAACGTAGACAAAACAAAAAGTCTTCACATAGTTATTTAAACAAACTTGTAATTAGAGATGCAAGCTTGACTTTTTATTCTTATATAGTTCTTTCTTTTTAGAAATCCCTGTAGTTTAAAAATCAGAACAAAATAGGATATGGAAATTGCTATTTCCCTAGCTCTGTCTAGAACCACTTTCCTTGGCATGTTTGTAGGAAGAGTCATTTCTGAAACATACTTCTAACATGTTCATGTTCTAACTGTCAACATCATCTGTGTTCAAAGAGGTCATAGAAAAACTGTAACAGCCAAGTGTGACTTTTCTGATAACCTGCTTACTCCAGTGATCCCTAATTCAAGTCTCAGTTTCCTTGCTAGTTTGTTAATCAAAATATTATCTTAACCAGCCTCTGGGAAGATTTCACTCTATGCTGTCTGTGCTTTAAATAAAATCTTTGCTTTTCTTCCACATCTATCCCAACCAACCTTCTTTTTCTTGAGAACATCATGCTCATCATTTTTTTTTGTTCTGACATTTTCTTCTCCCTTATTTTTATATTTTCTTCCTCCACTGAGTTCCTGTTGCCGTATGCTTAAACAGTCACAAAGTTTCTTCCCCAAGAACATCTGCCTCCTTACAGCCCTGTCCTCCTGCTCCCCTCTCCCTCTTTCTCTTTTCACCTAGTTTAAACAGAAAACTACCAAATATGTGAATATCCCTTTTATGAACAGCACTAAATTAGCAATACCATGGTGGAGGGAGACTGTTACAGAGAAAACCGAATAGTTTCCAGCCTGCCTAGGGTTTGTCTCTTTCAATTAAAACAAACACAACCATAAAATCGGATTTCATTCTCTATAAACATGCCCCTCAAGACACAAGAAAAATAAGGGACTAGAGCATGGGCAGTCTGTTATCCTCATGTAGCAAATCAGGAAACAGATTTTGTGATAGAATAGAAGATGATCCACAGTTCCAAACCTAGTACATGTCAAAGTCAAAAGTGAAATTAGGTGTCCAGATTTCTAGTTCCATTCCCTCCTATTATTCTATATTCTTCTGACTCCATTAATAAATTTAGGCAGGGAAAAGTCTAATGAAAAACTTTAAAAAGTTTCTTTCTTTACCTGACATGGTCAGAGACAAGGTTACATCAATTGTGGATACAAAGGATGAGGCTGTGTGAGTGACTGAAGCTAGAGAATGCATGTTTCCCAGTATGGAGTTCATTGGTCACTGTTTACTGGCCACTGGTCACACTAATGACTGGTTACTGGTCACTGGTCACTTCCGATGATCCAAATTTATTTACAACTGCATGGCAGCCAAAAATTCTAGCAGGTGGCAATAGGTTTGATGGGAGAATGATGTCACAAAACTGGCCATTTAAAACTATGAGGTAGTAAAAGAGCGTGCTATAGGGACACAGCTACAACAATGTTCATAGCAGCACAATTCACAATAGCTATACTGTGGGACCAACCTAGATGCCCTTTAATAGATGAATGGATAAAAAATGTGGCATTTATACACAATGGAGTATTACTCTGCACTAAAAAAATGACAAAATCGTGGAATTTGCAGGGAAATGGATGGCACTAGAGCAGATTATGCTAAGTGAAGCTAGCCAATCCCTAAAAAATAAATGCCAAATGTCTTCTTTGATATAATGAGAGCAACTAAGAACAGAATAGAGAGGAAGAGCATAAGAAGATCACCACTAAACAGGGATGAGAAGGGGGAGGGAAAGAGAGAAATAAGGGAAATTGCATGGTAAAGGAAGGAGACCCTCATTGTTACACAAAATTACATATAAGAGGAAATGAGGGGGAAAAAACAAGAGAGAGAAATGAATTACAGTAGATGGGGTTGGGAGAGAAGACGGGAAGTAAGGGGATTGGAGGGGTGGGAAGGGGAGGGGAGGGGGGATAGTAGAGATTAGGAAAGGCAGCAGAATACAACATACACTAGTATGGCAGTAGGTATAAAAGTGGATGTGTAACCGATGTGAATCTGCAGTATGTATATAGGGGAAAAATGGGAGCTCATAATCCGCTTGAATCAAATGTATGAAATATGATATGTCAAGAACTTTGTAATGTTTTGAACAACTAATAATAAAAAAAAGTATGAGGTAGCTAATAGGGAGGTCAGACTCCCAAGGAGAAGGTCGGATTGGGTGGTGAAAATCACAAGAAAGTGGAGAAAGTGACGGGAGAGGTATAATAGAAGCTAAATGGCTCATTCTGGACAGGTGAAACCTTGCAAGAGGCACATGGTAGGCCGATTTTCACCACTCTCTTGTTTTCAGGGAATTATCTTATTTTTCTATCTTTTTCTAATATTTATTTATTATTGGTTGTTCAAAACATTACAACGCTCTTGACATATAATATTTCATACATTAGATTCAAGTTGGTTATGAACTCCCAATTTTACCCCATATACAGATTGCAGAATCACATCAGTTACACATCCACATTTTTACATAATGCTATATTAGTAACTGTTGTATTCTGCTACCTTTCTTATCCTCTACTATACCCCCTTCCTCTCCCCTCCAATCTTCTCTCTCTACCCCATCTACTTTAATTCATTTCTCTCCTTGTTTATTTTCCCGTTCCCCTCACAACCTCTTATGTGTAATTTTCTATAACAATGAGGGTCTCCCTCCATTACCATGGAATTTCCCTTTTCTCTCCCTTTCCCTCCCACCTCATGACTCTGTTTAATGTTGATCTTTTCTTCCTGCTCTTCCTCCCTGATCTGTTCTTAGTTGTTCTCATTATATCAAAGAAGACATTTGGTATTTGTTTTTTAGGGATTGGCCAGCTTCACAAAGCATAATCTGCTCTAGTGCCATCCATTTTCCTGCAAATTCCATGGTTTTGTCATTTTTTAGTGCTGCGTAATATTCCATGGTATATAAATGCCACATTTTTTTTATCCATTCATCTATTGAAGGGCATCTGGGCTGGTTCCACAGTCTAGCAATTGTGAATTGTGCTGCTATAAACATCGATGTGGCAGTATCACTGTAGTACGCTCTTTTAAGGTCTTCAGGGAATAGTCCGGGAAGGGCAATAGCTGGATCGAATGGTGGTTCCATTCCCAGATTTCCCAGGAAACTCCATACTGCTTTCCAAATTGGCTGCACCAGTTTGCAGCCCCACCAGCAATGTGCAAGAGTACCCTTTTCCCCACATCCTCGCCAGCACTTGTTGTTGTTTGACTTCATACTGGCTGCCAATCCTACTGGAGTGAGATGGTATCTTAGGGTAGTTTTGATTTGCATTTCTCTGACTGCTAGAGATGGTGAGCATTTTTTCATGTACTTGTTGATTG